ACTGCCTGTGACCTTTCTTGATAGTCTCACAGTGCGTGAACCGTGTAATTTCTCCTTCCACTCAGCCTTTGCTATCATAACGCGATACATCAACCTTAAAGTTGTCAACATTTGTTTCACTAACGCAAAGTATACAACAAACAATGCCATATCAAATTATATATTCTGTGAGACATGAAAAATAGTTTTTATCCTGTAGCGATTATGACCAGATAGCACAGATCTATTTATCTATCTCTCTATCTCTCTATCTATCTCTCTATCTGTTTCACTAACGCAAAAGTATGCGACAATAAGCAATGCCATATCAAATTATATATTTAGTAACACATGAAATGAAAAATAGTTTTTATTGTGTAGAGATTCAATTGCTGTAATTTTCCCCATCTAAGGTGTCCTTCTCAAAAGATATAATTCCTTTGTTTGGAGCAGGCCTATGACTATTACGCCCCAGTGTTGCTAAACAACTTGTAGACCTTTAGTCTGACATAGACGTAGACCTCGCATGTTCAAGTTCAGATATGACAGGGGCCGAAAATATTGATTCTGACATGAAAGCAATATCTCAGTGGGTAATTGTTTTCATAAGTAAGTGGAGTGCTTTCTACAACATTGGATATAATTGTATCCCTGTCCTTCTGATCTTCCCCCCCCGAACGGAAGCTCTACCCATTTAGGGTACAATGTGTATGTTACAGAATCGTAGGGCGTGGTCTTAAGACTTTTCTAGTTTGACCAGGATTCTTCGAACTTGTAACAGTCGTTTGAGAAGATCAAAAGAGGAAAGGGTAGTGCGTGATGTATTTGACGGCCGAATATGGAGAACGTTCGAAGAATGTTTCTGTATAAATACAATAATAGAAATACTGGTTATGTTTAAAAAGTACCATCATTCTGATAGCCAGAGAGATTATTGTGAACGATCGAAGTATGTATGATCATAAACGGGCCAAATTAAAAGTACATGTCATTCATCCCCATATTATTTCCCTTTTATAGACACGAGACATCATTGTTACAGGTAGGGCAAACAATTTCTTCTATAGGTATCTGCCGATTTCATGCTACATACATGTATTCATATTATTGTGAAAACTAGCGACGCAAGTTCTCCTCAATCACACATACATTTGTATAGATACCCAGTGGTTAGTGAGAGCGTTGAAGCAACTTACTAAAAATAACGGCCTGTTTTCATGATAAATATCTGCAAATCCGTGGCACGATTCCGACCATATCATGAGCATGTGTTTGTGAATCATAATTAAATAGTGATGTTACAAGGCGTCCATGCCACGTCAACAACACATGCAAACGCACGATAATTGCAATACGGGCCCCAAAACCACTGAGTCTCCGTGACCTGTAGACACTTCATTGAGCGTATGTAGGGACGTAGTCTGTCATACAGACCCTAAGCAAATATATCCAAGGCCACGCAGGTCTAGGAAATGTGGCAAGTTTTGATTTCCACAGCTTCAGGAGAAAGTCTCAGGGCTCCTTTTCACTGTATTATTCATTTTTTTACTATGAACTTTGTTTCTGTAAAATATGTTCATTTCAGGGACTAATTGTTAGTCTATAATGGACGTGGAGAAAGACAAAAGACAAACTGGATACTCGTGCTGTTATACTTTTGAATTATATACTGAGTGAAAAATATGGGTGTCCCTTTATTTTTTGCCAAGGTTTCTTCACAAGCTTTGTTATCGCGTAGCTTGTGAAGAAACCTTGAAAAAAAAAAAATAACTTGTGCTTGTATGTGGTCCCTTATATCTTTTCCCTCGGTATATGTAAACATTCGTTCTTGTCTCGGGAGAAATGTATATTTTCCAGTTTCAACCAAATGTACATTCAAAGGATATCGAAATCTAGGTTAAGCTATTATAATCATATTTACAATTAAAAGACTGGTCTGTTGTCCAATTGTTTTGTTTTCCATATCTTGTTCGGGTCTTTATCACAGAACGATATTATTTTCCACCCAGCCCTTACAGTAATGCCTACGCCCTAAATGAAGCATGTCTGGATATTCCCAGGTCATGGAGTCTATTCTAAGCAAGTCTAGCTATGTATGGCCTTAAGTCACTGCTTGAAGAAAGGTTCCTTTATGATTTTATTTAGTAAATATAAGTATTTTTCACTGACTCAATCATTAAAAAACACATGGCAACCTATACTTCATTTTGACTATGATACAGTGATCGTTGTAAAACACAAGGGTTATTACCTTTGTGTTAACTGACAGGCTTTGGGTGTCAAATATGTGCAACTCCGGCCAGAGGTGATGTAATGCTGTTCTCTACATATGGCTTTTTGTAATGCTTTGGTTACACTAAATGATAAATGATTGTTAAGTGTACATATGAAGTGTTTGAAGGATAATCTCAGCTGACTCAGATACTTTGCACGTGTTTTCCCCTCCACTCCTTCAATACACGTAAAAATTAATTTTCTATATGTCTGTAATTGGCTGAATTAGGCTACCTGAGGTGGTGAGCGCAGCATTCTGGTAACACTGCGTTGAGAGAAGAAAGCGCTTGGCAAGATACCAATACATATGCTTGCCATTTAAACTTTTATCTTTTGTTTGTGGAACTTGATTTAATAATTAAAGATGCTTCCTGCACCTGTATCCCCAATATAGATGATGTTAGTCTGTGATTCTTACAAATTACTTGGTCTTTTGTTCAACTGAAATTAAGTTCTTTGCCTTTTATAAAAAGAATAACATTTTCAAGACACCAAGCTCCAGTCTTAATTTGCCTATGTCGGGAATCAAACACCGGCTTTTGACCTGACAAGCGAACGCTTTAACCATGAGCGTTACCCATGGTTCCTTGAGACTGATAATGAATATACACACCGGTACATTTATTTTACATTCAAGATTGAATCCAGTTTTGTCACTATATATCTTTCAGATTTTATGTTAGTGACATGATCTGCACATTGATAAACAGGTATATAAATAATAATTGTTTGCAATCTTAACCCAATTCAGTTTAACCCAATGTATTTTACAATTCTCAGTTTCTATTTCCTGGAAATTCTGTACGAAGGTACATTTAACAGTTCCACCCAATAACAGTAAATCATACAGATAATACGTTTCGGTACTTTGATATATTAATAAATACGCATTATATTCCACGATATTGCAATGCCAAAAAGATTGACATAATTGTATAATGTATAACAAATCAGACAACAAAAAGCAAAAGCAAAAATGAAAACGCATAAGCAACAAAACTGCTGTCAGGTTGTAAGCTTTCGATATTTATCGAAACTGCTTAGTTATCGAAGTTTATGAACTAATTGCAATCAGTAGAATTTGCTAAAAACTGCCTAAGAGATGGAATCAAAATAGGTGTACAGTATATTCCGTCGGGTAACTGAAATTTGAGAAACAACCCTCCGTATGGGATAATATCTCTAATACCGAATCAAAAATAGGGCATACCAAGTATATGTGCATGTTTACACATTTACAACAGTAATTTATTATTATATACACATTATATTCCATCATATTAGGATGCCAAAATGATTGACACAAGTGTATAATGTATAACAAATCAGACAGCAAAAAGCATGAAAACGCATGAGCATCATAAATGCTGTCAGGTTGTAAGCTTTCAATAATTATTGAAACTGCTTAGTTTTATAAGTTTATGAACTAATTGCAATCAGTAGAATTTTCTATAAACTACCTAAGAGATGGAACCAAAATAGGTGTATAGTATTTTCCGTCGGGTAACTGAAATTTGAGAAAACGTCCGTATGGGATAATATCTGTATTCAGAATCAAAAAGAGGCCATACCAAATATGTGCATGTTCACACATTTACAACAGAAATTTAAACCGCGAATCATTAATACATTGTAATCATCTTTTTTGAAACTATAGATGATGAAATTTGTGAAGTTATGATCAGTCGGATAACTTATACAAGTGAGCACTAAAATTAGGGAACTAAAATTAGGCACATGTAAGAAGTGTACCTAAGGTCAGTTATTTAAACTGTAATGTAATTTCCATTGCAAGTATAATCGATATTACCTTCTGATCAGAATGACCTATCAGTACTCCAACACCGACCCACCGCCACCACCCCACCCTAGGCCTACCCCATCCCACACCCTCTCCCTCTCGCACACATGCACACACACTCCCTCACATACATATCGCTCTGGCCCATAGACGCGATATTTGAACCTTTCAAACAGACATCATGTGTATGTAAGGAGAGGCACGTTAATAGTGGTGCTCAGTCATGGGTATCACTTCATGTGTTTCTAATTATCTCAGTACATATGGCGTGTTCAGACGCGCTAACGAACCTTAAGTGACAGTTTTGATACAGCACCATTGAAATACATGTAACATCCTATTTACCCATTACCAACCATTTACGCATGTACTAAATATATGACAAACCTAATCCTGGTCAAACGAGATTTCAAAGGTATTAAAATGCATGTGCTACAATCACAACATTTACATATGTTACACATGCTAGAAAACACATAAAAACAATGGCCAGATTTACACACCTGTGAAAGACATGTATATGCAGAGTTGAGTGTTCATTTATTTTAACACCCCTTTAAACGTTTGTTAATCTGACGGCCAGATGATACGTTGATTTTAAACGTTGTTTATATGGCCGCCAGATGAAAGGTATCTTTTGTAACGTTAGTAAATTTGGGTAATACAGTCGATTTGTATTATCTGAACCACTTGTTGCTTGAAATGTTGTAAAACAAGAAATTACCATGGTGATGGGGAGGATTTTTCGGATGATATTGCTTTAGTTTTAACTGAGGAGAAGCATGTTTTGGCTTTATGGAAAGAATTTTAAAAAACAAAAGAAATCGATATTGAGTTATTCTCACGGCATGTAATGGTGAATGAAAGTTTTAAATCGACGCCTGACTATTGGGCCAGGTCGTTGCTAAGTACATATAGGGATAAGGCTCGTGAAGTACATACTTACCTCCTGAGGTCTGGTCTGTGAGGTTGTTTCCTGAAGAGTAAAGGCAAATGTTTAAGTCATGGTAGAAGGGATGGTTCCAGTTTGAGGGGTGTACTTCAAAAGATGTTGATGGTGGTTTTGATAGCTTGGTTTTGAAGGAAGATTTTAAGCAATGTGTTTTAGTGAACATTCAGACATATCTTGATGAGCAGAAAGTTGATCAGATACACCAGGCTGTTACTTGAGCTTGTTGTTATCAGGCAATCAGGGGTTTCACGCAGGAATTCGCAGTGTTATAGATCAGGAAAGTAAAGTTAATGCACTCGTTTAAACATTTAGAAGGTTGCTTCTGGGTTTGCTGACAAAAAATCAGGCATTATTCCAGTTGGTTCTAATAATACTTCTCGGTGTTCGCCAGAGCCTACTTGTGGCCTGTCGTTTGTTGTGACAGTTCAGGAGTCCTTAAGAGTTTAGTTCGTTTGACCTTGGCTTTGGTCATAGTGTTCATTGAGCATGAAGGTCTTACAGGAACATTGCCTTAACTCCTTCGTGGAGTAGCTACCGTGCGTGACTACCGCGCTGGGGCCTTTTACGGTGCAACAGTTAATAGATATTTTTTTACCGATAACTGGATGGTTTAATTTAATAACTCTGGTTTGGATTGATTTTTATCACAATAGTAGTTTTGGAATGCTCAGATCATGATTTGAAATTGTGGACAATAATATTACATATATGCTCATCGCAAAAATATTTTGGCACGATCAAAGGTCAAATTTGATAGGTCAAAGTGCATTTATTGAGAAAAATATATAGTATACATATATATACAATAAATCAAAATTATGTGTTGCTAATTCAGCCTTATGAAAAACAAAAGTTGGTACTTTGTATTTAGATCAGCAAAATGTTGCATAATGTCTGGTCAACAGTAACAGCCCCATGATTTACATAGTATCAACAATACCAAATATGTCGAAGATACTGTAAGGCTATCAGTAAAATAACAGAAAGCTTTGAAATGTATTATTTAAGATGTTTTTCTTTGCTCATCAAAGAATGATGAGTCAGCCATGTCACCATAATAGAAGCAAGGGAAAGGGAACTGTCACGTTCACTCACTCACTATTCAATACATGCACAGAAGTTGGTATGGACGCTGGCAGACGAGTTAAATGCTTTAGAAAAACTTGACATCGTCCATACATATTAACAGTAGTGGCTGACCACGCCTTAGTGGATACTAAAAGATCAACTGTCGTTCATTTCCGGTTTCAGTGTGTCGCATGACTCCGTTGTCAGTGAAGCAGAGAGTTAATGAATAAATAATTAGCGCGTCATGAACTGGCGCACGTCGATCAATATCTTCAACACTTGATGGACGTCAAAATACAACGTCAGTCCTAAAATATTGACAGACCTCGCCCAATATTACTAGGGATTCTTTTTGCAAAATGCGTTTCCGTCCTTGCCAGAACCACACTCGCTCTGTCTCATACTCCAAATGTTCCGCCCAACCCTTTGTGCAATGCAGTCGTCCAAAATGAAGCAAACCTAGACTCCCAATGGTTCTGAATCTCTTAGCCCACTGGGGCTAAATCAGTATAAACTGAGTTATCTATTGCTATCTACATTTCCTAGTTTCAGAGATTTACCCTTGGTATAACGTGCCCAGAAACTGTAAAATAAGTATTGGAACATGCCCGGGATATGCTTATTGTTTTTCAAGCCCATACCTATATTTCTGAATTTTCCCACATTAGACAACTGTTGCAAGATGTAATATTCAGCTTGCACACTGTGTGGCCTTTTCATTGCATTTGTTTGGGTTTTGTGCGGGTGTTTGTTTGTTTGTTTCTTGTTGCATTTGTATGGGCTGGGACTATTCAAGATGACATCAATCTGAGCAGGATAAATCGATTATTTTCTGACAAATACAGATGTAGCGAATGAAGTGACCTGTATTGTTTCCGTACCATATGTAACATGAGATTGTGCTTATAGTTTTAGCAATAAAGTTTTAGATTTATCATTTCGAGTTGTTTTATGTTCATTAGTTGTATTTTTTTCATTACTTATCAAAGCAGTTGGTTTATTTACGTTGGACAGGTCATTTCATTATTGCCTCAACAATTTAGCTTTTGATACAATAGCCCTCAGCTTCTTATTTGATTGACATTATGTAACTACAGCTTTCCTCCATAGCATTTGCACACTTTTTGTAGTCACACTTCCAACAGCTCTGCACGGGACAAGCCGCTCTACTTAGCCATAGTGAAATATTGTTAATATTGATACCTATTATTTGTCTTAGAAATGTCCTAATCCCAAACACATCTGTGGGTTATAGATTCACCCCGGTGTCACCCACAGGGTATGTAAATATTGTTTTCAACCAGGAATCTCATTATCGACATGTGATTCAAGTATCACGTCTATGGGCGAGTTGGCGAGCGGTCTAAATATGATGACCGGGTGTAAAATCCTTGGAGTCAACTGTGTGTGCAGACTCTTTCAGTGTTGCCACAACCCCTAGTGTACAGTACACAACCCTGTGAACTTAAAAGAACCCACGAATCCGTTGGTAGATTACCCGATGGTGGTCACATGAATACGTGCAGTAAACTTGTACAAAGTACTGTGACTAGGTGTCCCAGTCCACCCAGCTGTGAATGGGTACCTCGTAAGAATGGGAAAGCCACATTTACCCGCTGTGCCTAGTATGCAGCAAGAGTTGTATGATCCCCAGGGAGTTGAGATTGAAAATACGATGTGCCGTTGTGATGGACATCCAATGATCGAGGGGAAAACAAAGTGCCTTAGAGCAGTTGAAGTGCATATCGCCTTATACAAATGTTAGTATGTATGAACATTTAGGTTGATCATTAATAAGTTAAAATATAATTGCTTGGTAATGTTTCATATACTAGTAATAGTAACATACTAGTAACTAATTATGTGTTGCATGTTTACGGTTATGTATATCATATTTTCTTATATTTTATTACAGGGTGATCAGTTGATTTATTGATTGATTGACAAATATGTCACCTCCAAACACACCCGCAGCTTGTCATCTTATTAACTCACCCCTGCTCTCTTTCTTTTCCTGGTGACTTGATTTTGCGTGTGTTTTGCGTGTGTTTTGCGAGTGTACAGTTCTGTAATCGCTGCATTTAACGGAAGACCACTACATCTCGAGGACAACTAGTGAATATTACCACATCTCTTGTTTGCATGGACTTCCTGGCTTAGAGACATCTAAAGGGGGTCAGCAATATGTTCTCGTGGTTACTGATCACTTCACTAGATATGCTCAAGCTTATCCATGCAAAAACACCACAGCCCAGACAGTATATGCGCTTTTCTTCAACAACTTTGTTGTACATTACGACCTACCATAGCGGATTCACCCTGACAAAGGAGCAAACTGTGTGGGTACACTGATGACAGAGCTTTGTAAAACGATGAAGATCGAGAAATCATCAACCACGCCCTACCATCCAATGGAGATCGGCGCTTTAACCGAACTTTGTGCAACATGCTAGGAACTTGGAATGCAGACAGCAAGAGGTGAGGTGAGGTGAGGTTAAATTAGGTTTTAAGACGTGCTAGAGAATGTTTCGCTCATACGACGACGTGCATGCGTGTGTATGCGTATGTGCAGCTGCTTGTACTAACCCAGACTGAGGCTGGTTTTATAGTGCTTGACCACTGAGATACCATACCGCAGTGAAGCATGAATACACCACTCAGACACATTATACTGACTCCATCTCCACCTGACACAAATAGGAGTACTTCAAACGCTTCCTCACAGTCACGTGACATGACACCAGTGGAAGCACCATGAATCCACAAGGCATGATTCAGTGGAATTGCAGAGGACTTTAGAATAATTTTAATGAACTAAAGTAATTGATTCAAGATTTTAAACCATCTGAGTATTGTCTCCAAGAAATGATAAATTTGACATCCGTCAGTATAGTTCCTACCTCCTGGTGTTAAAGCTACAGGAGGCACTTCTATCCTGGCGAGGCAGGGCATCATCCATAGCCCTGTTCCAGTTAACACCACCCTACAAGCTGTTGCTGTCCGCATGGCGCCGAACATAGGCTTTACACTATGTTCACTCTATCTTCCTCCTACAAATAGTAAGGGAAAGGTCCTTGAAGATTTTCTCTCAAATAATGATGTATGCATCCAACTATGGATGAAACACCTATCTCCACTGGAACATACTCTGCTTTCAATCTATCACTTACAGATTCTAATCTTGTAAATGAGTTTGAATAGTCGGCCCACGTACTCCTATCAATCCAACGGATGAACCACTACCAACAAGACGGAATTTTACTAAGGCCAATTGGCCTTTATTCCAAACCCTATTTTCTGAAAAACTAAAGCTGGACAACTTTAGGAATGTTCCTGATCCCATGGAACTATTTTCAGACGTCCTAAACGGCTATTTCAGACAAAACTATTCCTAAGTCCTCTGCAAAGCCGCACATACGCAAACCATGGTTTGATACAAACTGCAAACAAGTTGAAAAAATAAGAAGGAGGCGGTAAAAGATTTCCGACAACATCCTATTGTGCATAACCTGAAAGCTGTTAAAATGACAAATGCTAGGGCAAGACGTACCTTTAAGCAAACTAAATGCCGGTCATGGAGGAAATATGTGTCGAAAAATCAACTCCCGCACGCCAATGTCCAAGGTGGGGAACATGATTCAAAAGATTATGGGCAAAGGATCTAATAGATCCTCTCTTTTAACAAATAGATTTGAAATGGCAAACAAACTTGGCGAAACTTTGGCAAACCACTCCTCCTCATCAAATGACATCCCTCAGTTCCAGAAGTACCAAACCCAACAAGAAAATATATCAGTCAATCTTAACTCTGATAATGGAGAGGATTACAACGAAACGTTTTCTCTCCATGAATTATGTACTGCCCTTGGGCAGGCTCACGGCACTGCGGCAGGAACTGATATTCATTATCAGCTTCTTAAACAACTGTCCGATTCAAGTTTGGAAACTCTACTCAA